AATTTCCTTCCTTCTCAAGGCTGAATAATATTCCACTGTTCCGGAAACTGGTCCTGCCAATGAAACAACTTTTTTGAGTGGGCAAGAACTTTGAATCAACTATTTCATAACCCTGGAAGCTGGATGAACACTTGCAGCATCCAGAGGGGTAATCTATGAAGAAAGAGGTTGGCATTCAAGGAAATCTCCATCAGGTCACTGGCTGACCATGGATATAATGGAACAGAGACTTTAGTGATCACACACAGTAAGGACTACCATCTGCTCAACATTAATTTGGAAAAGTCACTGGATGCTTACAGCTCTCAAAAAGCAGTATCAGACATTACTGAGGGAAGTTAATCTGATTTCCAGAGTTACCACATTACAATATTCAAAATGTCAAGTTCTCAAAGATTTCCTCCTTAACCAATCTCTACCCAGGTTCCTCTGAGCCCTCTTCTCCCCTAGGCCTATATCCTGGCCTATGAAAACTTGAACAAAATATCAACACAGATTCTAACAGCTCAAGGCCACATCCCTAGCATGGCCCTAGCTCCCCCTATAGAGCCTGCCTGAGAAAATTCAAGGCTGCCAAAAGAGTTTACTGTTAGTTCCAGCCAACACCTGAAGACACCTTGTGTCCGGGCTTCTGTGGGAAGGTAGGAGCCTGACTTTGATAAGCATCAGCTAACAACCCCAGATGGGTTTCACATGGTCAAATCCCTACTTTCCACTTCTGGTAATTTTTCACTTGTTCTAGAAAATACAAGTGAACAAAACCAATTTCAAAAGAACGGAAAACCTGAACATAAGCTTGAGAAAAACATCCGTAAGAATCTACCCACAAGAAACACCAGGCCCACAGACTTTCACAGGCAGATTTATTCCAATCTTTGGATAATAGGGCAAAAAGCCAGCTTCCCAATGCATTTATAAGACCACAAGGCTTTCTATTTCCTGAACAATTCAGTGCAATAGCTGCTAAGTGGGACAGAACAAGGCACGTGTCCTGGAGAGGTCAAAGGCACCCAAGTGGGGTTAGAGCTCTCGCACTGTGTGGAGGGTGACTGCACAGACAGGCAGTTATGTGGGACATTGGAGCCCGGGTGGGAAGCTAAGGGCACCCATGTGGGATGGTGTGGCAGCTAGGATAGTGGATTGGTTATTTATAAGAGGAATTAATCAAATAAGTAAATATGGTAAAGATGATAGGTGCTGAGTTCCTCAAATCAGAATAAACATGGTGGTGTTGTATTGCAAATGGCAGTGTGATGTAATCTCATAGTCTTCAGTGCTATAGATAATCGATAGGTAGATACCCTATAACTTCATCACCTAGAAGGCTGGGAGCAATGATATTTCCAACAGGCATGAACAAACCTAGCAACCTTGTTTCTAAATTCCATTCTCCACTAAAAGAAAACAGAACTCTTTAGGGAAAGGATTAATTCCAGGCATAGGGCAGGGAGGGTTAAAGATTGAACTCCCTGCCAGGTGTGGTGGCTCACACCTGTAATCCCAGCACTTTGGGAGGCTGAGGCGGGCGGATTACAAGGTCAGGAGATCCAGACCATCCAGGCTAACACAGTGAAACCCTGTCTCTACTAAAAATACAAAATATTAGACGGGCATGGTGGTCTAATTTTGAGATTATCTCTAAATAAATTAGCATAACTTCAAAAATAATAATATAGGAAAATTAAAGACTAACCTACCTTATATCAAAAGATGCTAAAGATTTTGAGCTATATGTATTTTAAAATTTTATCAACAAGAAATCCTTGTCTCCAAAATGCAAGAACCTTTAGATATCAGAAAATCTGTTATTACACCAAATTATACGCCCCAAAAACCACATTTATAGAGTAAGTAAGAAATTTTAATCATATTAGCAGGTGAATAAAGAGCATATGATAAATCCAAAGTCATTCATAGTTTTTCTAAACATCTCTAAGCAAGCTAGGACTAGAAGGGGTAATTAAATAACCCAATAAAAGGTTATTTGTGGGGGAAAAAACTCTTAACAGCAAACATCACACTTTATGGCAAAACTTAAAAATTATTTCTTTTAAAATCAAGAATAAGGAATCAAGAACATCCTTAGAGTCTGCTATAACTGCTTCTTTTCAATAATACATTGCATTTCCAGCCAATACAATAAAGACCAAAATGAAAGGCATTAAGAATTGAAAAATAAGACAGACATTCACGATGCTAAAGAATTATAAGAGCATGATATCTGCAAATGAATAGCAAACAAACCAATTCGGTCCTAGTCATAAATTTATCTATATATGAGACATTGCTATAGAATAGTGAATGTGTCAAAAATCAATGTGGTAAGTATAAATGATGAAAAATTGGTGCTAGGCTATCCATATAGGAAAAATACAAAAATTATTTCCATACCTCACATCATATACAAAAGAAGATTAAAAGCATAAAATGTGAAGACGAAAATTTTAAACACTTAGGGAAAAAATGTAGAAAACATCTTTACAATTTTAGGATTGGGGATTTTTTTTTTAAGCACTATACACGAATACAGCTCTTATAAACACTGATGATTGTTACACATTAAAGTCAAATGATCTGTATGACCAAAAGAAGTGAAAATGTGGGAGAAGCCATTTGCACTAGATAGATCTAGCACACAATGAAGGACATGTAGACCATGTAAAGACGTCTTACGAATCAACAGAAATAGGTCTAAGACATAAAACCTGACAGTCAAAAAACAGTGAGGGCAAAAGATAGGCAGACACTTAACATCACTAAGCAACAGGTACAAGTTAATACCATAATAAATTATCACTTCACACTGCACCAGAATGGCTGAGAAGATACTGAAAAGGCCAAGTGTTCACAAGGGGTGAAGGTAGAAGGACTGGCAAACAAAAACAAAACAAAACTGTATAAAATGTGGCTGAAAGGCCGGGTGCTGTGGCTCACGCCTGTAATCCCAGCACTTTGGGAGGCTGAGACGGGCAGATCACGAGGTCAGGAGTTCAAGACCAGAATGGCCAACATAGTGAAACCCATCTCTGCTAAAAAAATACAAAAATTAGCTGGGCATGGTGGCTTGTGCCTGTAATCCCAGCTACTTGGGAGGCTGAGGTAGGAGAATTGCTTGAGCCAAGACCCGGAAGGTGGAGGCTGCAGTGAGCTGAGATTGTGCCACTGCACTCCAAACTGGGCTACGGAATGAGACTCCATCTCAAAAAAAAAAAAGAAAGAAAGAAAAGGAAAAGAAAAAAACATTGGTGGGATTGTGACTTGACACAAGTTCAAGAGCAGCTTGGCAATAGTCCCTGACTGCTCCATTTGATTCTGGCTAGAGAAACTCACACATGTGCCTAAAGAGGCACTGTCCAATGCCTGCACATCTCAAAGAACTGGAAATGAGTGAATCAAGTCTACATATATCCACACAGTTGAATCGCAAATACGTAATGGTGCGTGATAACAGCAAGTTGCATAAGGACACGGCTAATACTGCTTATCCAAATCATGAAAGTCCACAAAACTCTACATTGGTTATGTAAATATACATGTGTAGCAGAATTATAAAGTCATGCAACAGCCCGGAATCCACAGACTTTTATTACTTCTGGGGAGAGTGAGAAGGAAAAGACATAAGGGCTTGATATGGCTTCTGAAGTTTCCTCTTTCACAATTTGAAACAAGGTAATCGATGGTGAATTGTTAACACCTCTCGGAAAAGCGGGGAGATTTTGCCTCAGATATAACTGCTGATGGCTGTTGGGTAATACTTCTCATTATACAGGTGAGAATGCGAGTATCAGAGGGCACAAAGAGGAGAAAGCTGAGTCAGGGAGGTAAGGGGACTAGAAGGCAGGAATTAATTTATACACTGAAATAAAATGCAGATCAAGAAGAAATGCCTACAAGGACCAAACATATTCCACTGATGAAACAAATGCAAATCCCAATTCAACAGAATGAAATAAAACCTAGTAACCTATCATATCACATTCCTCCACACTCACTGTAGACCCTTTTAAATGACATTCAGTTCGGTGTTGATGAAGTGCATTTTTATCCTCCAGTGAAAAGTATTTGCCTTATTTCAGGGTTAATTTGCAGCACCTCCCTCTAAAACAAGTATACTTATTTACCCACGGAATAAATGGGTTCATTTATAAGAGTTCATAGTCCCCTTGTATTCCTCCACTACATATAGCAGATGCTGTTTTATGCCGAGATGCTGAATATTCCAGTTCATTTAGTCCATAAAACAAACTATTAGATGGCTATTATTTTTCTCATTTTACAGATAAAGAAATTGAGATTCAGAGAGCTTAAAACCTACCCGCACAATCACCATGCTGACAAGTTAGCATGAACCGTAATTCAAATTCAGTTTGCCAGACAGCTGCAAGACCCATATCCTTTTCCCTATACCTATTCCCTATACCCTAAGGGGTAGATCTTATGTCTAACCTCCTGCTCCCACTGTTCTATGTGGGTTATACTCACCATACACATTATATTTCCCCATAAAGCTCTACATACAATAGAGTCAGACTAGAGGAATATACCTTTTGAACTAGTAATTGTTCTCATAGGAATGATTTAGAAAAAGATAATTAAAGTGGCAGCTCCAGGTTAAGGAGGAAAAAAAAACAAATTAAAAAATTAAAGAATAAACTAACAAGCAAAATCCTCCACATCAGCGACTAAATCCACTTTACAGGTCAGGAAACATCTGCAGTAAGGAAACTATGTAAATTCATATACTAGTTATGGTGGAGCCAGGATCTGAACCCAGGCAGTCCGATTCCCAAGCAGGCACGGTTAATGGTTATGCTATTACTTTATAAGCCTTTTTGAGACCCACAGTGAGAAATACATTTTACTTCGTGATCCTGTACACACACACAAAAGTGAAACAACTTCTACAAAACAGTGTTACCTTAATATGTAGCAAAAACTTTAAGATGCTGACTTAGTCATGAAATTCTCTCATGAACCACGATTTTAAAAACACATAATGCTTAAGTGCTTCAAAAACACAACATTTATTATAACAGAGTAGTAAGAAGAAAAAAACTAAGTGGAACTACATGTTTAGCAACCAAGCTGAATAATTATGAATATAAACAATTGCTATCTGGAGAAAACATATTATGTTCATTGCTTGGAACCATGAATAATACTTACATATGTAGGAAATATAAAAAAAAATAGGTTAAGGTAATAAGGATATGAGTAGTTATGTTTTTATTTTTAATTTTATAAAAACTTTTATTTTTCCTTACAAACTGGGGTAGTTATGAGACCCAATAATAGCTACCTTGCTTTTATTTTTTTGGCAGCAAAGCAACTCACTGTGTTTCTTCTTGCATATCTGTTCCTGATCACAGTCAAGTTTTCCAATTCGTTTTACTAAGCTAGCAAAATTTTTCATATGAAAAACAGTAAAATCAAAACAAAACAAATGCTCCTTTGTTTATAAATGAAAATCTGGAACCAAATAACACGTTGAAGAACAAAACTTTGCAAACACATCCTAAAGCTACACACATTGAAGCGTTACAGAAATACGCTCCCTGGGTTCTCCCTTCCCCCATCCCTGTACAATGTGCCTTTGGGTCTCAGACTCTTGTCCCGGGAGTCCCTCTGAATCCACCTCAGATTTTAAGAGGATGGGGCTGGGCCACTCGGCTGAGGTCTGGCCCTGTTCTCCTCATCCGCCAAAGCCTCGCAGTACTGTGCTGGCCAGTCCTTGGGGTCTTGATTATGGACTTTGGCCACAAACCTAAGAACTTTCATCTTGCTGGTTTCCAAGTTGGTTCGTGGGCCCCACTGGAATTCGTAGTCCACGGGGTCGGTGTGGGGTATCCGCCGGTACTCCAGGTAACGCTGTCGCACAAAGTCCTCAGTGATGAGTTTCTTTGGATCTCCGAAAACTAAATGCTTCTTGGTAGGGTAGACCCCTAGCCGCCGCAGAAAGTCCCAGACTTCAGTCTCCTTGATGGTGTTGCCCTTCATAAAGATGAGCCCTAAGACGATCATCAGGAGGCCCGTGGTGGGCGTGCCTTGGTCGCCCCTCACCTCGGCATCCTCCTCCACGGGCTCCAGGGTGTTGATGAGGATGTAAGTGTTGCTCTTGGGTTCAAGTTCCACCAGCTTGTACCCGAAGACGTACTGGAGGCGCTCGGCGGCCAGTGTGAGGAGGTCGGAGAAGATGTCCTTGTAGTCCCCGACGACGTGCTTCAGTATGTCGGCTCGCTTGATCGGAATTTTCTTCTGGTCCTTAATCAGCAAGAACTGCACCAGCTCGGACACTTTCAGCTCCAGCTGCTTCTGGGTCCTGGGCCCCACGGCGGGGGCGGCCAGAGAACGGCGGGCGCCCTGAGGCGAGGAGCCCCGCGGCCCCTGCGAGCCGCCCGGCCCGCGGGACGTGCTCGGGGCCTCCTCGGCAACGCAGTCTCTGGGGGCCCGGGCGTCTCCGCCTTGGCTCGAGTCTCTGACACTCTCGGCGTGGCCGCTAGAACGGCCCCGGTTCCTCGGTTTTTGCAGCATGTCACCCGCGCCGGCCGGCAGGCTCCGGCGCAGACTCCCGCGGGCAAACACTGCGGCCTGGAAGCAGCCGCGGCGGGAATTGTGGGTCGACGCAGAGAGCGGACGCCAGGCCCTGGGCGGGGCCATAGGAGGGGCGCGCGGCGTCGGCGGAGACTGCGCGCTGCGTCACTAAGGCTGCGCCTTGCGTCACTAAGGCTGCGCCTTGCGTCACTAAGGCTGCGCCTTGCGTCACTAAGGCTGCGCCTTGCGTCGCGGCGGCTGGACGGTGCGCCTGCGCGGCTGCCGCGGGTACAAAAACAAGCAGCCTTGTTCTGTGCAGCCTTGCTGGTCCGGGCGATGATTTTTGGTAGAGTGAAGTGTTCTTACCAAACCATGCAAGCGGAGAACGAGAACCAAAACCCCTAAACAAGTGTGTGGCTAAATTCAGGACCACACAGGCTCAGGCAAGTTTTACAGACGGTATGATGCGTTTCTAAATCGGGAGCATTTGTAAAGATCTCAAAGATCAATGTGTGGAAAAAAAAGAAAAAAGGGGAAGAGGAAGGTACGGCCGTGGAAGTAAAGTAAAAGCATTTATTTCTACACAAAACGTGGGAGGACATAAAAAACCCCAAGTGTTCTTAGTTTTCGTCCTTCTGCCCAATTTCATGCCCTCCAACCCATTTCTCCCAGTTACTTTCTCTAATGCCCCGGGGAGTCTGTTAAAAACCAAAGTCTGCGGCAGGCTTTCCTCGCAAGCAGGACTTCGGTTTCACTATTTCCGTATTTACATTTTTTGCATTAAACTCTAGCTAGTCAACTATGAGAAAACAACACACAACGTCAATATTAAGTAAATGTTGTAGCTTTGTCAAGTGAGTTTATCTTTTGGAAAACATCACTGCTTTGGGCTCACAACCACAATTTTAGCAGAAATGGGTAAGAGGAATGCTGCAAACAGAAACGTGCACCCTCAAGAGATTACCATTTAATTTTGGGCATCACTGATCAAAAATTGCAATAATGTGGATCTCTTAAATTTCTTAATTCGTAATATATTAGCTTTAAAGAAAAGAGAACACTGGGGTACCATCCCTCATAATCTGTGATGTGTGCAGTCTCTATATTTTAAGTGTGCAACTCAAGCAGCCAAAATGAGTCATTTCATTAACAAACCATCAGCAGTCTGCTGCCAGTACTTCTAGAGATCTTAGCAAATGTGTTTCTTCTCTATTTATTGACTTGCAAAGAAGCAGCTGAATTTCCCTGTCTTTTTAAAGCTACCCAGAAAGTGGATAAACTCTTCAAAGAACCAAATCAAATTGATTTCCTCTTTAATGCAGATAGATTCAGAAGAAAGCAATTTCAAATATATTCAAAGAACACATTATCTGAATAATAGCATCAAACACAACCTTTTTTTTTTTTTTTTTTTTTTTTAAAAAAGACAGGGTTTCACCATGTTGGTCAGGCTGGTCTTGAACTCCTGACCTCAGGTGATCCGCCCGCCTCAGCCTCCCAAAGTGTTAAGATTACAGGCGCGAGCCATCGCGCCCAGCCAAACACAGCCTTATTAAAATTTTGTTACATGTTAGTAGCATAACAGTTTTGTTTGTAATTCAGTAGGAAAATGCAATCTGATAATGGCACTGGAACGGCAATACTAAATGTAAAATCATATTTCATGAACTAATGCAAGTATGCTAGAATCTGGTATGCAGTGAGTAATAACTTACTGCTCCACACGAGATCCAACTATATCCTCAGGCATCAGTCTTAATGACAAAGGCCTACTATGAAAAACAAATGTATTATCAAGGCATTAATTTTTTTTTTACAATGAGAAAAGTCATCTGTTTCAGTTTCCTTCCAAATTAAAATCTGGACTTAGGTTCATAAAAGCTTCCTGCTATCTAGAATTCTGCAAAAATTGAGTCAAAAAAGTTCAGCGGCCAAGATATAAGGGGGAAGTCGAAAATTAGATAAAAGCTATTGTCAGCAATTGGGATGGTTTTTCAGTGCTCTTTCTTGCTAAGGTTTTCATTCACTTACATTACCAAGCAGCCCACCAGTCGGGCTACCCCTGTAACTGTGAAAATCAGCAGTGTCCTTCAGTAGCACTCCTACCTAGAGAGCAGATTGTCATTACTCAAAACAGTGGAGAAGAGATGTGAGTTTTTAAGTCTCAAAACACCACTTTACGCTCTGTCCAGAGAAATGCAGATGAGAAAATGCAGCCATAAAATATGAATATTAGAATGAAGTTTAGGCACTGCATGGAGAAGTCATCCAGACCCACATTCCACCTTGGATTGATACTGGAAGCCATGGATGTTTGGGGAGAAATGGTGGTGATAACAATACTAACATTATTAACAATAAATATAACTGACAACAGCCAATGATTATTTAGTAGTTCCTGCTCCCTCTCCATATCTGCAGTTTCACTTTCTGTGGTTTCAGTTACCTGCAGTCAACCACAGTCCAAAAATATTAAGATATTTTTGGAGAGAAACCACAGTATAACTTATTATACCATATTGTTATAACTGCTGTACTTTACTGTTAGTGTCAACTGAAGGATGATGAGGTTCATAAAGTTGGAAAGAAGAGCTTTAATTCTCATAAAGGGTTGCAGTCTGCAGGGCTGCCATTCCAACAGGCTGGAAAGCACAACCTCATGCCAGAAGCCAGAAACAGACACTTCAAGGGAGGGGAAAAAGCAGCAGGAATCTATGCAGAGTGAGGTGGCCAAATATACAGATTTAATAAGCTATAGGAGGAGTCACGAATATTTATGCAAAGAGAAAGGTGCACATGCGCAACTGCACTTTATGCCTCTCCATGGGACCCATGTCCCAAAATTGGCAGTGTTCACATGATCCAGGGTAGGAGTTTTAGGCCCTCTGACATCAAAAGGTGAAGCAGGAGACATGAAAACCCTGACTGCATGTCTTCCAGAGACTGGCCACAACTACTCCGTGGTCGGTGGTCTTTTACCAAGAACTGCTGGTCAGTTGTGCCAAAACTGCAAAAGGGAGGGGCAGCATCAGGTCGTGATACCAGTGGTAGAGTCTTTTGAAAGGGCTGATTTCTGTTTAGACCTTAGGGAAGAAAGCCTATTGGCAGTTAGAGGGGAAGAAGGTTTTCAAGGTTATTCTGGGGTCCCCTTGGCCAAGAGGGGGATTCTGTCCAGACAGCTGGAGGGCTTAAGATTTCATTTTATTTCTCATTCATTATTGTTAATCTCTACTGTAACTAATTTATAAATTAAACTTTTTTTGAGATGGAATCTCACTCTGTCGCCCAGGCTGGAGTGCAGTGTCGCGATCTTGGCTCACTACAACGTCTGCCTCCTGAGTTCAAGCAATCCTCCCACCTCGGCCTCCCGAGTAGTTAGGATTACAGGTGTGTGCCACCACACCTTTTTTTTTTTTTTTTTTTTTTTTTTGAGATGGAGTCTTGCTCTGTCACCAGGCTAGAGTACAGTGATGTAATCTCCGCTCACTGCAACCTCTGCCTCCTGAAGTCAAGCAATTCTCCTGTGTCAGTCTCCTGAGTAGCTGGTACTACAGGCAGGCACCACCACACACAGCTAATTTTTGTATTTTTAGTAGAGACAGGGTTTCACCATGTTGGCCAAGATGGTCTTGATCTCTTGACCTTGTGATCCACCCTCCTCAGCCTCCCAAAGTGCTGGGATTACAGGCATGAGCCACCGTTCCTGGCCTAAATTAAACTTTATCACAGTTATGTGTGCTGATTAATACTGAGTGTCAATTCGATTGGATTGATGAATTAAAGTATTGTTCCTGGGTGTGTCTGTGAGGGTGTTGCCAAAGGAGATTAACATTTGAGTCAGTGGACTGGAGAGGCAGACCCACCCTCAGTCTGGGTGGGCACCATCTAATCAGCTGCCAGATTAGCTAGAATAAAGCAGGCAGAAGAATGTGGAAGGTCTTGACTTGCTGAGTCTTCTGGTCTTCATCTTTCTCCCATGCTGGATGCTTCCTGGCCTTGAACGTCGGACTCCAAGCTCTTCAGCTTTTAGACTCTTGGACTTATACCAGCGGTTTGCCAGGGTCTCAAGGCCTTCAGCCATAGATGGAAGGCTGCACTGTTGGCCTCCTTACTTTTGAGGTTTTGGGACTCAGACTGGCTTCCTAGCTCCTCAGCTTGCAGATGGCCTATTGTGGGGCTTCACCTTGTGATCACGTGAGTCAATCCTCCTTAATAAACTCACCTTCATATATACATCTATCATATTAATTCTGTCCTCTAGAGAACCCTGACTAATACAGTATGTTTCTATATATAGGGGAAAACATTGTGTATTTAGGGTTTGGTGCTGTCCATGATTTCAGGCCTCCACTGAGGGTGTTGGAACACACCCTCCACAGAGGAGCGGGTCCTGTTACACAAATTGAATGGTGGGTCAGACCTTATTCCAGATGGCTTACAGGTGTGACTTCACTTAATCCCCACAACAAACCAGGAGGCATGTGCACTTACTATGTTTCTCTTCTCACAAATAAACAGGCACAGGAGAAGATTATTAAGTTTTGAGGTTCTACAGCAAGTAAGTGATAGATCTGGGATCTGAACACAGCCAATCTGCCTCCAGAGCCTGGGCTTTTAACTGTATACTGATTCAGAGCAAACAGAGATGGTGTCCTTGAAAAAGTAAGGGCTTTGGGATCAGATGAACTAAGATGAGAAACCTGTATGACGCTGGGAAAGCTACTGATACACCTCAAGTTTAAGTCTCCAAGTCAACAAAATGAGTGCTAATCCTGGCATCAAGGGATTAAGTGAGATGGGTTTACCAAGTACCTAGCACAGGGCCTGGCAGGGTAGTTGATAACAGTTTGCCTCGTTCCAGGGATTTCTGTTAAGGAAAATATTTGAGGACTACACGTAGTTGTGTATACTGTAGGGGAGGCAAAACCTTACTTCCACCCTCTAAGTCCCAGATGGACCTGAGACTTAAATTGACATAAAACAGATTAACAGGAAAAAAGCATTCAAATTTCATAAAAGTTTTATATGACATAAGAGCCCTCATTAGGGAAGTGAAGACCCAAAGAAGTGGCAAAACCTGAATGCTTTTATATTTGGTTGAACAAAGAGACGTAACTGTGGG